AATGCAGCAGAAGGTAGTGAATTTCTTTGATGTCTAAAAGAGGGAAGCAAGTAGGGCCTGGAGGAAAGTAAGTTTGGGTTTGAGAGCTAAGAGAAAACTAAGAGAAAAGTGATGTCTCAGCCATCCTGGTTGCATCATCCCTCAAGCTGGGGGCCCAGGGAGTGAAAATAATAAAAGTGGAAGACGCCAAGATGGCAGCTGTTGTTCAGGAGGTGAGTCCCCAGACTGGGAGGTGAGGCCGGTGTGGCTTTTCTCTGAGGCTAGGCTGTGGGGGTGGAGAGATTAAGGTAGAGCAGGCTCTGGAGGGATCCAGGAACCTGGGAGGTGGTGTCTGGGTCCGCATGCTCCTTGGGCTTCCCAGACCTTCCAGAGCCCAGAGACCTGGAAGAATAGAGGCCAGGAGGGGACTGGGCAGGGCCAGGGACCCCAGTCTGGATCAGACACTTTTCTTTTGTCTTCCCCGACAATACCACTGTGTGCAACACACCAGGAATTCCCTCAGAATGTTTTGAAAGCTCTTCCCACTCAGACACAGTACCAGGGGTGCCCTCCCTGAACTCCCAACCCCTTGTGCAAGTGCTTTCTCCATCTCAAATATTCCTTTCTTTCCTGAATAGTTCAAGCCCTATGTCCCCTCTCCTCCACAAATTCCCTCTTCTATCATGCAGCCTGAACCGTGGATAGGAAAGGGACCCCTAAAATTCTTGCCCACCCACAAAAATCCCCAAGTCTGGGCCAGAATCCAGACCCCATGGTGGTGAAGCTCTTTGTTTTCCTGCAACTTCAACCCATCCCCTCCCTTTTTAAACTAGATTTTCTCCCATAAAAGTGGTGGGGGGATACAAGAGCTTCTGAGCTTTAAGCTCTCCCTGCTCCCCCCCGCCCTGGGAATATGGAGGAAACAGAAGAAGGGGGAGAAACAACAACTAATGCTTAATTTCCAGGGAAGGCAATCTAGGTATTGAATATAAGAGACACGTCAACCTCATTTCTTCTCATTGTTCTCCGTGGTCTGGTAATTTCAGCTACATCCAGCTCCCAAGTATGTGCCTCTGGTTCTGTCTTTAATACAGTAAACCAGGAATTCTACCCCTCAGCTTCAGAAAAACACAGGCATCTGCCTGTTCATTTTCTTAGTATTTTCCTTTCGGACGTCTAAGTAGAAGATGAGCATGCAAGTTAAGCGTGTATACAGAGAAATAAATATACCAACAGAGATCTTTATTTGCAGTAGAGGATTTCAGCAGAGGGCTGGGTATCTTCATAAGCACATTTGGGCTGTGTCCACAGGGCATGTGCGGGAACAGTGCACGCACCCTGCACTCAGTCCGAAACCCACAGGCCAGGTGTGCACACGTTTGTCACATTGTCACATGTCCAGGGAGAGGGCACAATGACTGTCTCCTTCATATGTGAGAGCCTTTGAGAAGAGGAATTCCAGGGCTGAACTTAGCTGGGGCCTCAGTCTGTAAAGGAAGCCGAGGGCAGTGTGGCTCCAGACGCCTCGTCCTTGCCTACGTTCCGTTGTAAAAGGAGTCCAGAGCAGAGCCGGGCTTTCCTACCGGGCTGGAGTGCCATTTTCCATTTTCCTTTAGTATAATGAAATGCTCTGTCTTTCCTCCATACGAGCAGCATCTCTAGAGACCGAGGAGCCTTTTCATTTGTCTTGATTTTTGTAAACTTGATCCGTGGTCCGGCGCCCTCGCCCCTGGGCGCTGCCGCCCGGAGGGGCGAGGTGTGGCCAAGTGGTGGAGGTTGAGCGCGAAGCCGAGGGTTTCTGCGCTCGGCTTTCTAGGGCGGGATCGCCTCCGAGAGGTAATTACTACGTTTCCAGTGGTGCATATTCTCTCGGAGTGTTTAATTTGGTTTTATTTGTGTCTCAGCGAGATCCACATTTTTTTCGGGGGAGGAGGGAGAAGCGACCCCAGGCTTAAAGTTAATTAACCAACAACGCTTTACTTTCCGCCGCCCGCCCGCGGGCTTTGGCACCACCGCCTTCCTCCCGGCTCCGGGCTCGCCCCAGCGTGGAGCTGGCAGTTTCAGACGCGGAAGGTCTTGGGGAACCAAACGAAAGACTGGGGAGAGGGGAGGGATCGTTCAGAGTGTACGGACACTAACTACACCAGCCACTTTTAACGCTCTTAGCTCTGAACTTCCCCTTCCAGCCTTCTCACTCCCCCAAGCCTCTTGGGGGCGGGCCGGAGGAGGGGGGCGCTACATGTTTTCATAATGGTCTTCTGGATGCAGGGGACTTTGGTTCCAACTCTTTACTCTGGTCGCTAAATTTTGGCTGCAGAGTGCCCCTAATAAATAGAATTGTAAAATTGCCAGGTTAATTAAATCTATATCTCATTCCAATAAGAATAGTTAATGTCCTTATATAAACTTGGAAAAGAACATACTATTAATTTTATTTATTGCTGGGCAGCCCTGCACCCAGATCCTTCCTGCTGTTCTGCCCCCTACTTTCAGAAACTGAGGGACATGTGTTTGGGCTCTGGCCGGAGAAATTCACATCTAGCTTTGGGCTAGAGCATTCCTGTATCCAGGAGGGAGCCCCAGGAATGGAGTGGGCATTTCAGGCCCTTTGTTCCTCCTGGTGGCCCCATAGAGCCCAGTACATTTTGCCTTGGGTTCTGCACTGTGTGCGGTCCCCAACCAGTACATCCGCGGAGAAAAAGCCAGAAACTCCACACCATCTCTCCTCTCCAGGCTGGAAACCCCCAAGACCTTTGCACCCACCTACCCCCACCAGGCAGCCCTCAGGCTGACAAGGGGGTCAAGGTCACAGGGTCCAGTCTAGACTGACCAGGCCGTGTTTGCTATCCTTATTTCACCTTGACCTTGGATTCCAGAATCAGGGAAGGCAGTTTCCCAGACAAGATCCGGCTCCCAGCAAGACTTACCTTCCCTTCGGCTCATCTGTTCTCTTTCCACCATCATCGTCCTCAATGCACACTCGTGCTTGCCTGCTTCTGGTTCAAACTTTTCCGCTGTATTTTTCTTCCTCCTGAAGCCTGTTTACAGATCTGAACTCTAAGGTGACCCTGCCCGATGGTGATCACGATGATGATCACAATGATGATCACACTGATGAGGTTTAGTTTCTTATCCTAACTCACCTTTTTGAGGAGCTCTCCATCCTCAAACACCACCTCCTCCCTGCAGGAAGAAGGGAGACTGCGGTGGACTGGATCTCAATATAGACCTGGCCGGTTGTTCTCAGGGCTGGAGGAGTCCAGTAGGTCCAGTTTAGCCATGGATTACCGTGTGGCCACTGCCTGTGCGTTGTCCAGACAGGAGCACCCAGCATGTAAATCATGTAACAGAGGCAGAAAAGAGGGAGTTGCTGCAGCCCCTCTCTTTTCTCTCTTTATTACCTCCTCTCCTCAGGGAGGCCCTGTGCTGAAAGGGAATTTGGCTCAATTCCACAGAGATGTGCCTTGAAAATGGTTGACTCTATTAAGGCACCAAATTGGCATAGGAAGCCCCACAAGTTGGGAGATTGAGTGGGAAGAAGAGGGGTTCTTTATCATTAAGTTGGTATTAATTTGTTCCTTGAAATACGAGGCAATTTTAAAATACGAAAACAATCCACACTAAAAGGGAGTGTGACTCCTAAGAAAGCCCTGAAATCTAAAACTAGGGCTGTCCAGCTGGAAACTGCGTCAACCCCAGCTCTGCCAGGCCCCTTGGCCCTCATGTACCGAAAGGCTTACAACCCGTGTGGGGCTGAGGTCTGGCCTTCTGGGGCCTCCCAGACGTGCTTAGGGAAAGGTCCCTCCAAAGGGCCAGTGCTGCCGACTCTTCCTTATTTTATGTTTCTTTAGTACACAGCTAGGAGAGTGCGTGTGTACTCTTGTTCACATCCAATGCTTTTTAGCTTTCCAAAACAGAATCCTTCCCCTCACCACTCCCCACCACTTTTTCTTTGAAAAATCTCACTCCGAGGCTTTTAATTTCTATTGTGTATTGAAATATCAGCCTGTCTTTCCCACTCCCCGCATTTCCCATTTCCCTCCTTTTATCCCGTCTCCATTTTTCCCTGGAGCATCCCTCGGTGCGGTGATGTGTGTGCTTGGGGACTATCACATCCTCTCAGTCTTCTCTGCTCCGCTTAAGAAAGACTTGCGGGCGAGATGTTGAGAGAGTCTTTTCAGAAAACTAGGGCTTTAGGGTTCAGTGGCTGCAAGCAGCAAATAGAAACACTATCCCGGCATCAAAGTCTCTCTCCTTACATGGCGTCGGGGGCCTTGCCAGTCGTGAGCTTCAGGGGAGTCAGCCTGGGCCACAGCCAGGGCCCCCATGCCCTGCCTACTCCCCATGCTTTAGCCTACTTTCTAGTTTTTTCATCATTAAGGGGGCGGGGGATGCGGTTTCTGCCTCACTATTAGCTCCAAGCCCCAGATCCAGTCACAGCGATCGGGTTTTTTGGGCGGGGGGGGGGGAGTAGGGTTCTGTCTCCCCCATACACATCCTAAGCCTAGGGGGAGGCGCCCGGGAAATTTCAGACCCCTTTGCATCGGCCAAATTGAGTGCCCCCCGCCCCCCCGCCGCAACCTCTCCTTCTCGGAGCCTGCCAGGGGGCGTTGCCCTGTCCTTTTAAATCTCCCAGTGCTCTCAGCTCCTGAGAGCCAATCAGCAGAGACCTTTCCCACTTTGCCCCGCCCCACCTGAAGGGGTGGGAACCCCAGGAGACCCATCCCGGGCTTCACTAGCGCCGGCCGAGTCACGTGGCCGCGGGAGGGGTGCGGAGGGGAGGCGGGCGGGAGCCGCGGGATTTCTTAATGAAGTGTCCCCGCATGCGTAGAAGGAATTGTGGGGAGGGCGGTGGAAGCAACGGGTGGAGGAGACGAGGAGGAGAGGAGGGGAGGGGAGGGGAGGGGAGGGGTGGAGAGGGAAAGGAGGAGGGATGGGGGAGGGGAAAAGAGAGCGAGGTGTCTCCCTAGCTCTCTGCCTTTGGCAAGTGGAGTTTTTAAAAAGCTGGAGCAGATCATGTCATGACGACTTCGCTGCTCCTGCACCCGCGCTGGCCTGAGAGCCTTATGTACGTCTATGAGGACAGCGCGGCGGAGAGCGGCAGCGGCGGCGGCGGGGGAGGCGGCAGCGCGGGCGGAGCGGGGGGAGGCTGCAGCGGAGCGAGCCCCGGCAAAGCCCCGAGTATGGACGGGCTGGGCAGCAGTTGCCCGGCCAGCCACTGCCGCGACCTGCTTCCACACCCGGTGCTGGGCCGCCCGCCGGCTCCCCTGGGCGCCCCTCAGGGTGCCGTCTACACGGACATCCCGGCCCCGGAGGCGGCGCGCCAGTGCGCCCCGCCGCCAGCGCCCCCCACCTCGTCCAGCGCCACCCTGGGCTATGGCTACCCGTTTGGTGGCAGCTACTACGGCTGCCGCCTGTCACACAACGTGAACCTGCAGCAAAAGCCTTGCGCCTACCACCCAGGCGATAAGTACCCGGAGCCGTCGGGCACCCTGCCCGGTGATGACCTGTCCTCCAGGGCCAAAGAGTTCGCTTTCTATCCCAGCTTCGCCAGCTCCTACCAGGCGATGCCCAGCTACCTGGACGTATCAGTGGTGCCTGGGATCAGCGGGCACCCGGAGCCGCGTCACGATGCGCTCATCCCCGTGGAAGGCTACCAGCACTGGGCTCTCTCCAACGGCTGGGACAGTCAGGTATACTGCTCCAAGGAGCAGTCGCAGTCCGCCCACCTCTGGAAGTCTCCCTTTCCAGGTAAGGAAGGGGGGCCAGAGCGCCGCGGCCGCCGCCAGGGACCCCTCCCCGCCCCTCCTGCCCCGGGGCTCCGCACCCCAGCCACCCCCGCCGTCTGGCCCCGGCGCGCCGGCTTTCTGGGCTGCCGATGAAGCTGGCCGGGCGAGCTGCGCTGAGGAATGCGCCGGGGAAGAAATCTGCTCCGACACGTTCCCCGAAGCTGCCCGGCTGAGAGTGAAGCAATCACAGGCGCCCGAGCGCCGGGCCGCCGACTGGGCTCCAGTCGGTAGCTCTCCTCCTCCGCCCCCAGCCGACTCCAGTCTCACGAGCGGCTTTCCGCAGGCGAAGCCGGCTTCTGGCTAGGAATGGGGGCAGGGTGGGCATTGAGTGCTTTGGAATCCACAACTACAGCCTAAAACTCTCAAGCCACCAAAGAACTGGGGGGTGGGGAATAAGAACCCCCAAACATTTCCTTTGCCAGAATTTCCAAGATCGTTCTGGCACTAGACATTTTTTTTTAATAGGGGTCCAGTTTGCCAGGGTCTACGGAAATATAGGAGGCTTCCTTTTTTCTTTTCTTTTCTTGATGTAGTTAAAAAAAATTGGCCGTGAATTTCTCAGTGGTTAAAGGAGCAGAGAGCTAAAATCTCTTTCGTTTGCGTCCCTCTCTTAGGATATAAATTTTCTTTTCCTCTCTGGTATAGTGAGCTCAAATCCTGTGGGTGTTTCCACTGCTAACTCCCCCAAATGTAGGGAGAAAGAGTTATCTATGCCTCAGACACAGAAAGAGGAGGGTAAGGATGAGAGGTAAGGGGAGGGAAGACCTGTTTTGGAGGGATCTAGGGTCCAGGCCCAGGCTGGGGACCACTGGTTTCTGTCTGGCTATGTATGGGGTGGGGGGTGGAATTCACCAGTGTCCTGTTCCTTCTCCAACTGAGGCTATCTCTGAACAGGAGAGTATCTTGCAACCTACAAAAGGGGGGAAGACCAGTCTCAAGCTTCTAAAATCCACATCAGAAACTTTAAATTCAGGCCTGCACTGAAAAATCAGGGTTTGAGGTCTAACCAATCCAGAGCTTCAGTGTGCTCTGGCTGTAAGTGGGGTTCAGTGGGAGAGGGCTGACTGGCTCCCTTCTGTTGTCCACAGGGATCCTATGGGGTCAGGAGCAGCCACAAATGTCTCCCCATTCTGCTCAGAGGGTCCCCCAGCTCTGCATTTGGGTCCAGGGATATATTCATTGGGAAGTATAGACTTAAAGACCTCCCAAGGGTGGGCCTGAAATTCCTTTGCATTCGAGATTAGGGCAAGGGCAGATGGTGAAAATATCAGTGAATGATATTAGAAAATGTAGGAAACAACATTCTTGTAAATATTATGAGATTACTCAATATAATACAGCTGAATACCAGGGTGGACCTGCCCTAGGCACCCCCATCTGGCTGTGATAAGATTTAAGGATAATAGAATTTTAGTACATGGCATCATGCATTACCTACTTGGCATTGGCTATAATATTTTTATGTAATATGATTTCTGTTATTAACCACTTTAATGATACATTTCTAGAGTATACGAGATTTACATGTAGAGAGGTGGCTCTTTAATTCCTCATTTTACCCAAATTGAAAGCTCTTTAGGAGATGGGGATCTGGCAGGAATTCTTGGAGCCGAGGGAGCCCATAGGCAATCCTGAAGGGCCAAAAGGCAGGGAAGCAGGTGCCCACTAGGCCCCCTGTGGACAGAGGCACAGATCTAGAGCAATGGGCAATGGATTTAATGTGAGGAAGTGAAGAGAGCAAGGTGCTCTCGCATCCCTGTGTGCGCATGTGGAGTGGAGTAGAGGTGGAGTGAAGAGAAACTCAGAAATATCTTTGAACAAAATACACATTTTAAAAAATCCCAGGGGAAAAAAAACACTCAAACACTGTGATCACAGCCTCCTAGAGAAAAAATATATTTGAAATAAAAAATTATATAGCCCAACTGAGATTTAATACACTTGCAAATTACGGCATTGGGCATTGGAATTACAACATGGAAATGGATACAAAACCCAGTGTGTCTCAGCAGCTATGTGCTCACACACTCCCTGTGTGGAGATAGAATCAGGCTGGTGTAGCATAGTGAGTGCAGAGGTCCAGGCAAAATGCAGATGAAAAAGAAATGATCATCAGACACCCTTCTTCTTTCCACCCACACAGAGAACTTTTAGAAGTAGTGAGATTTCCAGATAACTCTGTCTATGCAATTGTGGTTTGTTCTGCAGCATCCAGGCATAAACACTACTGTCTCTCTTCAGCGCCTCTGGCTCTGAGAAACCTCATCTGTGGAAGTCTGGGCTGGTGTGGGAGATGGAGCAATTGTTCAGAAAGATCCAAATAATTAGGGCCAAGGTGTGTTGTGGCTTCTTCCTTCCCCCAATTATACAGACTCTTGTTTCATTGCTTTTTTTTTTCTTTCTTTCTTCCAGTGGTGAGTTTAGACTTCTTTCTTTCTTTCTTCCTTTCCTTCCTCTCTTTCTTCCTTCTCTCTTTCTTTCTTCCTTTCTTCCTTTCTTTCTTTCTTCCTTTCTTCCTTTCTTCCTTTCTTCCTTTCTTCCTTTCTTTCTTTCTCAGAGAGAGGTGGAAATTCCAAGACAGAATCAGGAAAGAAAGGGACAAGGAGAAACAGAGACAGTGACAGACAGAGAGAGACAGATAAGATTAGGAAAGAGAGAAAGAATCAGTGGGTTCTTTGGACCATACTGGAAATACCTACTGCCAAGCCTTTGGATTTGGGTCGAGAAGAGCAGCTAGGACTTCTAGTTGGGCCTCTTCAGAGCCCTGTTGTGGCAGTGGGTGGGCAAGAGTGAGTGGGCGGTAGGAGCCTGTACAAAGATCCCCAAGGGAAAGCTGTGGCTAAATATTGGTATTTGCTCCTCAAAGGTGTCTGTTAGGGTCCCAGGTGTGAAGTGTTTTGGGTGCATGTATGTTCTGGAGAAGGATTATAGAAGGCTTGATTGTAAGATTAATAGCCAACTCCCCACTTACTTTAGGTAGCGTAGACACTATTCCAGGTCTAAGCCTCCAGATGTTTCCACATCTGTAGATCCCACTTGCTTTTCAGACAAGACAATCTACAGTGAAAGGGGGTTTCTGTGAGAAGGCAAGACTGAAATTATTTCCCCAGGAGGCCTTAAAAAAAAAAAAAGCCCACAGCAATTTGGTCTGACCAATGAAAAGTTTGGCCAAATCGATCCTTGGCATTCTGCAGAGAAAAATAGCTAGTTTAGATCGATTATTTTTTAAACTAACTTTTAAGGGTTGTGTTGATGAAACCTCATTGGAAAATTAGAGTTGGAGTTTAAGGGATCCAAAATTGGGTAGGTAATTGTGAGCATTTACTGACAGTGAGGGGAAAAAACACAACAAAAAAACCCCACAAAAACACAAAAATAAAAACAGGGACAATTAGCTGGTTGATTCAAGAGTCAAATCTCACTTTTACTGCAGTTTGTTCTCTGGGGCAAAAAGAGGTATTCAAAAGCTGGATTGTACCAGGTGGCCTATTTCTATTTTAGAACTTACTGTGTCATTTATATTGAGTCCGAAAATCTGGTTTTAAAACCTGGTTCTGCCACTTACATTATTTAACTCACTCGTAACCTCAAAATTCTCATCTTGTAAATGATTTCAGTAAAATAAACCTGAAAAAATGTTCTGAGGATTAAAACAGAAAGAAAACCTCACAGTGTCCTCATAGTATCATTACTTACCTTCTCTGTTTTATTCTTGTCCCCAAATCATCAATTTCTTGAAACATAGTTATATCTGTATGAGCAAAACAAATTTGAAAACTGAGTTTTTTTTAATTATCTTGCACAAAAATATTATTTTTAACCTAAAGGATCTGCTCTGTTAAAGTGAAGTTGTTTTGTTTTTCAGAGTTTTATAAAACCTTTGCCTATCCACACATAGGCAGAGAAAAGTGACAAGTCCAACAATATTCCTGAGAAGTTGTCATCATGAAGACAGCCAGACCAGGCCCTCTATCCTATATTCTTCCTGAGCACTTTACTTCCTTCCTGCATTTGATCGTAACCTCTTCTTTCCCATTCTGTACAGATAAGGTCCCTGGGAGAGAGCATACCCCATAGGAATGGGTGTAGGAAGGGTCTTTTATGAGGATAGGGTGAGAACAGCATTTCAGGAGGAGCTTTGCGTCTTCATTCCAGACCGTGTCTACGCTTTCAAAGGGCAGTGTGAATGAAGGGGAAATCCCAAATATTCAGTCTCCCTCATTAGCTTCTGCCTGAAAGAAGTCTAATAATTGCATTTTTAAAATCGAGGGGTCAGTTATTTAGAAAATCTTCCTAGTTCCCCACTTCCCCTTGAAAGTGTGGCTATGACCTTTCTACTGACAAAGGTGAGAGTGGAGTGGAAGGGCGATGTAAGTGACATTTATTGTTTTTAGTGCCTGTGACATTTTCAGAGTATAAAGAAATTGAACTACTAGTGGTTAGGATGACAAAGTATTTCGGATTTAGAGTTAGAGTCCTGCGTGGGATGAAGACAGTTTCCTTCAGCCTTGGAAGGATGGAGAGGAGAGGGGGTTGGAGCAGAGCAGAATTTGCTGGGTTTTGGTGAGCGGACATTTGTGAGGACAGAGGGGCACTGAGTTCTTTTTCTAGACTTACGTGAATAGCTGGTTTTGCCCCCCCCCCCAGAAGCACTCTCCTGTTACCTCCACTGGGGACAGATCCAAGTACAGGGATGGGGACCCTTTACTTCCAGGCCTCTATTCTCTACATCTCAGGGCCAGCGCCTCCCGTCTCAGATGTTGTCCAGTGGCTCACAGCATTGAATTCCTAGAGCGATGGGCTCCCAAACAGACTGGCTTCACCTGGACACTTTTCTTCTCTCTATGTATTGGTGCAGGCCTCAGGTTCCCAGTGCAGAGCCAGTGACCAAAGGTGTGCCCAGCGACCCGACAGTCTGTGCCCACTGAAGCTACTTCCCTCTGTGCCATGTCCTCTCTAAACCCTACACAGAATACCTTTCTCACACACTGGAGCTGAGCATAATAAGCTGATGGCTGCCCAAATGATTTAACTGCAGGACGACCTGCAGACCAGAGTGGATTGTAAAAAAAAAGATTTTATGTATTTATTTTAGAGAGAGAGGAAGGGGGGAAAAAGAGGGGGAGAATAACATTGATGTGGGAGAAACATGAAAGGGTTGCCTCTCGCTCACCCCCAACTGGGCAACCCCCCCCCCCAGGCATGTGCCCTGATCAGAATTGAACAGGCCACCTTTGCTTTTGCAGGACGACGCTCAACCCTCTGAGCCACACCAGTCAGGGCACCAGAGCGAAATTTGAAAGGACCCCTCTAAGGGCACAAAGATTCTAGTGACCAGTGCTGTGCTGAGCCATGCTGAAGCCTGAGGCAAAAGGAAAAATCAGTAATAAGGGCACCGTGTTTATTTTAAAATTTGATGTTTTGTTCATCGTGTACTTTTGCATTTGTTTTGATTTTTAAAAAATTATATTAAAGCATTATTTATCTTGATTACTGAGTTTTTGGCGCCCCCTCCTTTAAAGTTTGAACCAGAGGAAATACCCCAGCGGCCTCACCTTAGTCATGGCCTTGCTAGTAACAGAGGTGCAAAGGATTTGGGGGCAGTTGGCAGGGCGCCTTTGAGTCCCCGCCAGAACCTTGTGCCTCCGCAGCAGCGGTGCAGCCTCAGGGGTGGCCCTGGCCGAGACTCACTTGCTGCGCACCTGCCTTCTCTCTCCCCCCTAGACGTGGTTCCTCTACAGCCTGAGGTGAGCAGCTACCGGCGCGGGCGCAAGAAACGGGTGCCCTACACCAAGGTGCAGCTGAAGGAGCTAGAAAAGGAGTACGCGGCCAGCAAGTTCATCACCAAAGAAAAGCGCCGGCGCATCTCCGCCACTACGAACCTCTCGGAGCGCCAGGTCACCATCTGGTTCCAGAACCGGCGAGTCAAAGAGAAGAAGGTGGTCAGCAAATCGAAGGCGCCTCATCTCCACTCCACCTGACCGCTTACCTGGCCACCTTTCCCCTCTATTTATGTCGCCGCTTTGTACCATAACCGAATCCACCGAAGGACCCTTCGCCGGTGCAGAGGAATATTTAATGTTAACCAGAAAGAGGAACCGTATCGCCAGGAGGCAGCGAGTATCCGAGCGGCGCACTGCCGCCCCCTACTCCCCACATTATCTTCAATCCCCCACCCCACCCAGATGGGACCTACTGGGCCTCAACAACTTTGGAGGTGGGTCCCCGTGGGCTGTGGAAGAAAGGCTGCCGGCCCCCACCCCCTTTCACCCTTACCCCTGTCCTTGCCGGAAAGCCGAGTGGCAGCAAAGAGCCAGATCATTCCAATCAAAGCAGAGTTGGGGAACACCCAGCGACCCCATGCTTGCCTCCCCCTTTGCCAGGCAGGTAGAGGACCCTCCTGGGGGTGCGGCCTCCGTGTAGGACCTGGCGAGCTTATAAGTCCCTCCCAGTCCCCCCCACTCATCCTTCCTGCACTCTTTAGTTAGACAAGAATTCCCAGTTAAGATTTTCTGTGCATATTTTAAAAGTCACATTCATAGGAATGATAATTTTTAGGGATCTGGCATCATGATTGGAGTACAGGCAGCACATAGGTTTTGTTTCTTTCCTATCTACTTCGACAAAAGCTGGAATTGGCCTAGGAGCCACCTACTTCCCCCATCTCAACCAAGAAACTCAATTTCTCAGGAGCCGCCTTCACCCCCACTGCCTCTTCTGTTCTTTCCCACTCAACCCACAGTGACCCAAGGACAGAAAGTCAACCATGCTTCTAAGTGTTCTTCTTCTCTCTCCTCCTCTCCCCCTTCCCTCCTCCTCCTCCTCTTCTTTTTCTCTTTCTTTCTTTTCCTCTCCCCGCCCCATCAGGCCAGACAAAGAAGCAGATCTTTTTTTCTTTTTCTTTCTTTCTTTCTTTCTTTCTTTCTTTCTTTCTTTCTTTCTTTCTTTCTTTCTTTCTTTCTTTCTTTCTTTCTTTCTTTTTCTTTCTTTCTTTCTTTCTTTCTTTCTTTCTTTCTTTCTTTCTTTCTTTCTTTCTTTCTTTCTTTCTCTCTCTCTTTCTTTCTTTCTCTCTTTCTCCCCCCCCTCTCTCTTACAGAGGGGGCCCAGGGGATGGAGAGTGGGTTCTTCAGGAGAGTCCCTTTCCAATCACTTCTCCACGAAGGCAATTGATGAGGACAGAGGCCTCTCACTTTCACTTTTACTGATTGTCAGAGGAAAGCAGTTTTCTTCTAGATGTCAAAATAACAGCCTCCACATAGCCACCTAATGTAGATGCTGCCTAACATTTCCTTCCTCAAAGGCCAACTTGGTGCTAGGGAGCCCCTCACCTTCTCCCGCTGGTGCATTACAAAACAGTGTCCTTTTGAAATGTTCAGCAGAAATAGGCTTTTAAAAAAATGTTGTGTATCTGTATATAGTACTGTGATGTCTGAATGACAATGTATTGAATTGAATGCAAAAAGAAAAACCCACAAACCTGTTTTTAAAATAAAATCTTTTTTTTTGCCTTGATTTTATTGCTTAGATTCTTTCCGAAGCTCTTTCTGTCCACTGGCTCTTCATAGAAGTTTCTGGTGCACTGACTTAGCCAGAATGGAAGAATATAGCTATAGAATATAGTGGTGGAAGAATATAGCTGTCACCTCCGACAGGGAAGATCCCTGACTCATATTTTACCTCACTTAAGTTTGTTAAAACTTCAGGTGGTTGAAACTATCTAGCCAGGAGAAAGACTCCTGATCCTGATACCCAAAAGACTTCCCATCCTGATACCCAAAATACACGAGTGTATGTTAGGGAGAGAAGGATGTAGTCAGTGACTGAAAAGGCCTGGGAGCAGGTGAGTGAGAAAAGTACGTGGCTATTCACTTCAGTCAGTAGTTGGGGCTCAGAACTGGATCTGGGTGCTGGCACTGAATGCTGCAGTGGTGGCAACTGGTGGCAGTGGGAAGCTAATCTTAGTCTCCTGAGGCCCTACTGTCCCCAAAGGGTCCCATATCCCTCCAAGCAGTTCAGACCTGGGGCTTAGGGAGAGGCCTGCACAGCCATTCCCTTCTCAGTGGTCCCAGGCTGCATTTGTTTGTCCCCCATTAACCACTGTAGAGGGGTCAGGATGCTAGGATGCTAGTAGGGGTCAGGATCCTTGTGCCCCCAGTTTACTAAGCCAACCCCACCGTTATTTCCCAGGGTTCCTGGATACCTCTGTCTTCCAAGCAATCTGGAACCCTATAGACTCTGCCACTAATTTGATTTTTTCTGTTGAGTCAGCCCGTGCCTATTTCCCTTGCTGACAGAGTTAATGAGATTGTTAAATTGTCAGGTTAAGAGACTTTAAAAAGCAATATAGCTGAAAACAATGTTATCTTGGATTAAATCTTTACTGCAGCAATTTTTATTTATGTGTAATATATTTTCCTCTCCTGAGATGCAGAAAGACTGGAGGCATTGGGTTGAAAATTCCAGTTCTCTGATTTCCCTTTAACTGATACCTGAAGTGTTAAGGATTTTATTTAAATAAATGTTTCTAGGGAGTGAAACACACACACGCACATGCACACACACAGGAACTCTGAGAGACAAAGAGCTTGAAGAATTCACTGTCTGCGGAGGCTTTGCCACTGATGTGGTGCCAGCTCTGTTCTACTCCATTTCAACTCTGGGTTAACTCTCCAAGAATCATATGCTGGGAAATAGAGATTTAGGATGGAATAAATTAATCTCCCAGGAATAAGCTTCATTTTTAATTCCATCTCCTCTTTCTCTTCCCACCCACCACCCTAAAAACAGAGTTTCCCCTGAGGCGAAAATAAAATGTATGTTTGGTCAGAAAAAGGAACTGAATAGACAAGAGGTCTTGGCACTCCCTGGATATGCGCCCCCACCACTCTTAACTTGAGGATGCATTGGATAGTCCCACAACACTGAAGACACGGGGAAAGCTGGAGACTCAGCGGGGGAAGTGAAGTCCAGAGTCCTCCAAGCACACAAACCCACACATAGTCAAATAAGTGAGTCTTCCCACACAGGAAGAGACGAGCACAAAGACCCCAGAAGAGGGTAATGGAAAAGAGAAGGAGAAAAAAAGTCTTTGCTAACTCGTGGGGTTCCACTGGGGCTCTGGTAAGCCAGGCAAAAACTGAAGTCCCTTTGAGTCCCTGTGAGTCCCAGTGTGCCAGGGTGTTCAGGACCCTCTCATGCCCATGGCTGGTTGGATTTTGGAGAACAATCATGCCTGGATCAATTTTAAACATGTCTCTCCCATAAAAGTAAGTAAGCTTGAGGATGGAAATTCCCGTGTGAGACAGGCATTGTGTGACTGTGTGTTCTGGAGAGGCAAAGTTGGGGAAAATATATTATTCTTTTCCTGGTCATGTTGGTCCTTCACCTTTCTATCCCCCAAGAAGTGGTATTCTCATTGGGAACTCTGTGAGACATTCCTGTGAAGGGGTGTGTGCATGGTGAGAGCCTTGGAGCAGTGGAGAATTTCCTCAGCCTTTACTTCCTGTATGTGCAAGTGTGTAAGTAGGTGTGTTGCCAGCGGGCACTCATCCCAGGGTACAGAGTATGTTTTGTCTTCTTTATTCAAATCTATAAAAAGCCTTTCTTTCTAAGGCCAGTCTTCTAGTGTTTGTGAGAACAAGGCTGCAGCAAATATGAGGGTGCAAGGGGACAGAGACCGAAGGGCTGTGAGCAGAGAGGCTTCCCATGGAAACAGCCCTTCACCTCTGGGGCTCAGGTTCCTGCTCTCTTTCTAATAATCCCGGGGTAGCCTCCACTCCTCTGCCTCCCCAGGTCAGGACTAGGAAACCTGGGTGGGATGGAGCCCCTTACAGGACTCTCCACATGGAGGCCACTCTACCAGGCTGCCAGGGAGGACTCAGTTCTATCCCTTCCTGAGCTAGGGAGGAAAACCCTTCCCCACCCTCATTGCCCAGACCTACGGCGGGCGGCGGCGGCAGACTGGCCTATAGTCCCACAGCCAACAACCCACCTGAGGGAGCAAGACCAGCAGTTCTCGGGAGATCCCTCTACCACTGTCTCCGTACCATCTGCTCCTGAGGCTGATCCACAGAAGGCTGGGTCAGCAGTGAGGGTGTAAAGCAAGACAGCCCCTGGGACACTTTCCATCACTCAGAGGATTGGAGCTGGGGACACTGCGGCAGCCCCCTGTGCTCAAAAGAGAACTCTCCAGCCAAGGGTCCACCTGGGTTCGACTTGGATGGTGTTGAGAGCCAGTCCCTCAAAAAACTGCAACTGCTGGATCAGATGTGTATCTAGACCCGCGCTGGTGGGGAGGATTGAGGGGCCCTGGGGAACCAGGGGCTTCTGGGAGGAGGAGGGGGCCAGATCCTTTTCGCATCCAACCAGGCTCTTCCTCTTTTAGCCTTGACCGTGACTAGGTCTTTCTGACCTTGACATCGCAAGGAGCACAGGGGAGGGGAGAAGGGGGAAAGCCCTTGATCTTCCGGTGGCCTCAGAAAGGGAGGGCTGCTAGCCCCCTTGACGCGCCATCCCCCCTTCCCGCCAGAGCCCGCCGCCTCTGTTTACACACAGAGGAGGTGTCGTCTCTAGTCTAGACAGGGGCGCTAATAACGCCCATAAAAGGCGGCCTCTCCAGAGATGCTCTGCAACTCAGCTCCCGCGCGCCTACCGCTGGCCGCTCCCTCCGCCTTTTCCGCCCCGCCCTCCTCAGATACCTCGGCTGGGCCTGCGGGCGGCCTTGGGGAGGAGGCACCCAGAGGGTTTCTAAAGGCTGAGGACCCCTGCCCCGCACCCTGCTGAACCTCTTCCGTCTCCAAAGGTAAGTGGACCCTGCTGTTCCAGCCCAGTCAGCCTTGGGGTTAGCAGCGCATCCTCCCATCACCACCCGCCTGCCGGCCCGTTGTCCCCATTCCAATCTGCCCGCACTCCCCGCCCCGCACTGGGGTCTTGGCTTTGGGAAGCATCTGGGTAGCCAGGCAGAGCAGACCCCAAGCAGATTTCAGCCCCTCCTCAGAGCTAGGCTTGGCCGGAGGCCGTGGTCACAAGCCGCCGGCCGTGGGGAAAGGGTCACTGGGGCTAGTCCTCACCCCGTGCGGTGATTCGAGGTTGGCCTCTACCCCCAGGCTCCCGGTACTGGCAGGCGGCTGTGGGTGTGGCGTTTCATGAGAGTGCTTTTTTTTCTTTCTTAAACTTGGTCTCCACACCTTTCTTGACACTCAGTAATTCACTAGGCGGAGGAGATCCTCTGCTGGCGGAGGGGGAAAATGTCAGAGCTGCGAAACTATTTAACTATTAGCGCGCCTATAGGACGGAGAAAATGGGGAAAGATGGCTCATTTAGGGATGCGCATATGAGCGGTGCAGAGATGGCTTCCCAGCTGTTCCCGCCTGGGACCCCCCACCCCTTCCCCATTTCCTGAGTGGCAATCGGGTTGGGTTCTTGTGGTGGGAGGGAGCTCGGAAGAGCCGCAGTATTGGAGGAGGTAAGGTCGCTGCTGACCCCAGGCTGCTTGTGCGAGCCTGAAAGCCTGACTGAGCCTCTCACCCAAGTTCTTCTAAACCCCCTCCTCCAGGCTGCGGGTCCCTGGAAGGCAACACCTGGAGAACGGGGGCTCCCA